TTTTTTTTTTTTTTTTTTTTTTTTTTTTTTTTTTTGGTACCGGGGATCGAACTCATAACCTTTGCTCTTTTAAATTGTGGGTGCTGGGTATTGTGTCTCAGTAATAAGAAAATAATAACTAAGACAGAGATGGTGACCCACAGGCATTTCTGTCTACTTTACAGGGATCATAAGCCCTTTTTAAAGGAAGTACCCTGAGATAGGAAACTTGCAGCTGAACTCCCAGTCTAGTGCCCCTTTCTAGCTACTCAGCTATTGATTAAGCCTGAAGCAAAGTGGGGAGGCAGCTACAGAGCCTCCAGTGCTCAGCTATCTTGGGTTCAAGAAAAGAGACCTCAAACCAAGAGATTTGTTTATGGAGGCCATTTGGGGTTGAGAAGAACCCTGCTTTCAGAACATACGTCTAAATTTTCACTTGTTATGTGGCTTTATACTACATAATGAAAGTGAGAATCTACAAAATGGAAGCAAGGCTATCTGTTCTACTAAACTTTGAAAGATTCTGAACTTGAAAGCAGCTGTGAAGTGGGTCTGGAGCACCCCACCTCGCCTCACCTCTGCCCATGGCTGCCACCATGTGGTTTCTAGACCATGAAGCGTGACTATCTACAAACTCTTAGGTCCTTCATAAGCTGTTGAAGGTCTAAACAAGATAGTGTATGAGGAAGCTCCGGAGACAGGAAGCACCTCACTCAACTGGCATCAAAGACAGAGCTTTCAATGATATAAACAGCATGCTGCAGCAGGCATGCCACAGGTCCACCATCACTGTTCTAGGGAGTCAAGGCCAAACTCCCCATTCCAGCATTGTGGGTCCTCACAGTATGGACCATACAGTTCTTGCTCTTTACTCAGCCTCCCACCACTGTCACCAGGTGCCCACCCCTCTGTTTCTTCATTCTGCCCAGGTGCCTGAGCATCCCTGCCTCCTCCACCTTGGTGCTGTGTTCAGTTCTGAGCACTGAACTCTGAAACAAGGAAGAGCTGAAAAGAAGCAGACCCTGTGACAGCTGGAAGCTAAGTGATGTGAAGAATGTCTGGAAGAATGGAGGATGTTTGTCCTGAATAAAAAAAAAAAGTGATAGAACACTTAAACTGTGCCTAACTGCAAAAATGTTGAGTAAAAACCAAAACAGCATTCTTTCAATATCTAAAAGACACCACATGCAAGGGAGCTGATTTGTTCTGTTTTCTTTTGGGGGTGGGAGAGCATGGAGGTAGGAGCTAATTTAAAGTTGCAGGATACAATTTTTGTGAACAAAAAAAGAACTTCCAAAGAGCTGAAAATATGCACATCAGCATAGCCAGAGGGCCGTGCTAGGCTCAGCACAACAATGACCGTCTTCATATACCAGCCAGTGCGACTCATTGCTACTCCTGGAAAGCCCTTCTGCCAGCTCCATCTCTGCCACCACCATGCTGTACATCCTGCCACTCAGCTCTGAACCTAATACCAGTCTATTGATGAACACATGGCCAAGTTCATTTCATCCAAACTCACCTCCCTACTACTTGATCAAATTTTTGTTTGTTTGTTTGGGTCTTGCTACGTAGCCCAGGCTGGCTTCAAACTCCTAAGTGCTAGAATTACAGGCGTGTGCCACCATTTCTTTTCATTAACCTTTAGAATGGTCTATTGTTTGTTTGTTTTTTGACACAGGGTCTCACTGTGTAGTTGAAACTGACCTGGAACTCACTATGTAGCCCAGGCTAGTCTCAAACTCACAGCAATACTCTTGCCTCAGCCTCCTGAGTGTTAGGATTACAGGCATGTGCCACTATGCCTGTTGCATTGATCTATTTTTTAAGAACATTTTTAGGTTTACAGAAAAACTGAGTCAATAATACAGAGTTCCCATACACCCTTCATCTAGTTGCCTCTTTTATTTTAAATATCTTTATTATAATGAACAAACCAATAATTTTACATCATTATTTTCTGAGGTTAATGAGTTATATATTTCCTGTTGGGTGTGGTTTTTTGTGCTACCAGCGATTGAACTCAGGACCTTGCACTTGCAAGGCAGGTGCAGCGCCACTGAGCTAAATTCCCAGCCCTACATTTCCTGTTTTTAACCTAATGTCCTTTTCCTATTCTACTGTCCTACCAGGACATAATACATGTAATTTTCTTCTTTTTGGCACCAGGGATCGAACTCAGGTCCTTGTGCTTGCAAGGCAGGCGGCAGAACCACTGAGCTAAATCCTCGGCCCATACATGTCATTTTCAAATCTCTTCGGGTACCTTGTGACTGTGGCAATCTTACCTCATATGTGATAACCCTGATGTTTTGAGAGGTACTCACTAATCAGGAAATTTGTGGGATGCTCTACTGTTAGAATTTGTCTGATCTTTTTTCTAATGATTATCCTGGGGTTGTGGGTTATCAAGAGGATTACTGCACAGGTGTCATCTGCACCACACCATATCCAGGGCAACTATCATCATTATTACTACTAATGTTACCCAGATCACATGGCTGAGGTAGTGTTTCTCAGGTCTCATCGCTTTCCATACTACTCTTCAGAAGGAAGTCACTGTGCATGGTCCACACAAAAGGAACAGTGAGTTATGGTCTTCCTTCTCGAGGGAAGGGTATTTGCATAAATTATTTGCATTTATTCTACAGAGAGATTTGTCTCTTTTCCTCCATCTACTAATTTATTCACTATGTATTTATCTCAATATGCATTCATGGATGTTTATTTCATACTATGGATTTACAATCGAATATTGCTTAATTTTGTTGCTCAAGTTATTCTAGCTTTGACCACTGGGAGCTTTTTCAGCTGGCCCATGTCCTTTTGACATGCCCCCATCAATGGCAGGCCCCTCCACCAGGCTTATTTTTAAGTACTACTAAATGTTCTAGGCTCATCTTCCATATTTCCAGTCCCAGTTCTAGAAGCAACCATTTCTCTAAGGAGCCCTTGTTTCTTTCATTGGAAAATGTTATCAGAAGTCAAGATCTGGCTTCTTCAGATTGGTCCAGGTAATGATTTCTTATATATAAACCCAAAAGCATACACAACAAAAGCAAAAAATAGATAAATAGGATAAACTAAAAAGCTTATGCATGGCAAATGAAACAATCAACAGAGTAGAGACAATGTCCAGGATAAGAGAAAATATTTATAAACCATACATCTGATAAAGACATATCTAAAATAAGTAATGAACTCAACTTAGCAGCAAGAAAAAAACCTAATGTAAAAATGAGCAAAGAACCTAGACACTTCTCAAAGGAAGACAAACAAATATTCAATAGGTATATGAAAAAATGCCCATCATCATCAATCATCAGGGAAATCCAAATTAAAATTTCAATGAGATAGTGAATCACATTGTTATAAAATGGCAATTATCAAAAACATATAAAGACAAATGGTGAGGAAATGGAAAGAAAGGAACCTCTGCACACTGTTGGCAGGAATATAAATACTGCTGTCATGGAAAACAGTATAGAAGTTCCTAAAAAAATAAAAAATAGAACTAATAAGATCTCACAATCCCACTTCTAGATATATATCCCAAGGAGATGAAATCAGCACATCGAAGAGCTATCTGCATTTCCTGTTGTCTGCAGCATAAGAGCCAAGATATGAAATCCACCTAAGTGTCCCTCAATGGATGAATGGATAAAGAAAATGAGGTACATATACACAATGGAAAACCATCTAGCTTTTCAAAGAAAAAGAAAGAAGTTAAGAAATACTGTCATTTGCAACAACACAGATGAACCTGAAAGACAGTATATTAAGTTAAATAATCTAGGCATAGAAAGACAAATATCAGATGATGTTATGTTATGTATATACAGAATCTAAAAACATTGCATTCATACAAGTAGTAGAACAATTAACTGGTGCTGGGGGTGGGGTAAGTTTTGGGGAGACATTGCTTAAGTGGTAGAATATTTCAGTTAGATTAGTGAAATAATTTCAAGAAATCCACTGTTTATAGTGACTATAGTTAATGATTATTTATACTTGGAAATTGCAAAGAAATTAGGTATTAAATATTTTTACTTAAAGAAAAAACAAAAACGAAGATTTGGGTGCCAAATGTGCTTATTGCTATTGAGGTGTCATTTCTTCTAGGCTCTTTCACCTAACAAAGCAAAAGATATATATATATTTACAGATGTATCTATAAATATTTCTATATGTAATTAACTGTAAGTATATCAATTTACTTAATTGATCCATTTCACTAAGCATGCTTAACAGTGTATTATTACTTCATACTGTCATAGGAAAGAACTTTATAAACTACAGTACATGGATCATGTGTCGCTCCTTTTGCTTTTAGTCTTACTGTCTCCACTAATTTCCAAAGTTTGCTTTTAGTCTTACTGTCTCCACTAATTTCCAAAGTTATATTAACACGTCTTACCCCAACCCCTTCACTGAAGTAACTCTGTGCATTTGTAATAGATCTCTGTGGTCCTTCCTTCAATCTACTGCCCTTCCAAATCATTTTTATTTCTGTACAAATTGTACACATTAAGATTCACTGTGTGCCAGGCATGGTGTGACTCATGCCTGCAATCCCAGGATGAGGATAGGCTGAGTCAGGAGGATGATAAATTCAAGTCTAATCTGGGCATTCATAATTTAATGAGATCCTGTCTCAAAAAAAAAAGAAAGAAAGAAAGAAAAAGAAAAAGAAAAAGAAGTGGGGGAAGCTGGGATATAAATCAATGCAAAGGACCTGGGTTCAATCTTTAATTCTATAAAAAAAATCACTCTTTGTGCTGTAAAGTTCTATGGATTTTGGCAAATGCTTAATGCTTTTTCTGTTCCAAAATCATACTTTCACTGTTCTAAAAATTCCCTATGCTTCACCTTTTATCCTATCCCCTGAACTCCAAACTGTAGCGAGCACTGAACATTTTACCATGGTTTTGCCTTTTCCAGAATGTCATATAGTTGGTGTCATACAATATTTAGCCTTTTTAAAACCAGGAATCAAACTAAGGATCTTGCATTTGTGAGGCAGGCAGTGGCACCATTGAGGTAAATCCCCAGCCCAATATTTAGCCTTTTAGAAGATAAACTTGAGTCATTTGTAGGAAAACAAATGCACCTGGAGACCATAATATTAAATGAAATAAACCAGACACACAAGTTTAAATATCACATGGTTTCTTTTATATGAAAAACCCAAAGTATAAACAAAGAACAAAATTTTAAAAATAGATTACTAGAAATAGTGAGATTGATCTTCCTCAAAGGGCGGGATCAAGAAATGGAGGGAGGGAGGGTTGGGGGGAGGGAAAGGGGACAGAAAAAGGAATTATGATATAGTATGTACATGTACCAACTCCACACCAGGAATGTACTGCAGTACACAGGAATATATACTGCAAACATGCACAAAAGAAAAGGGAAGGGGATTTAGCTCAGTGGTTCCGCCACCTGCCTTGCAAGTGCAAAGTCCAGAGTTTGATCCCAGGTACCGAAAAAAGAAAAAAAAAAAAGAAAGAGGAGAGGATGGAAAAAAGTAATTGAAAAACTATTATATACATGTACCAATGCCCTACAAGGAATAGCATTATGTATTACAAACATGAACTAAGAAAAAAAATGCTGCCAGGAACATGCTTGTAATCCCAGTGCTCAGGAGGCAAGAGGGTTACTGTGAGTTTGAGGCCAGCTTGGGCTACATAGTGAGTTCAAGGCCAGCCTGAACTACACAGTGAGATCCTGTCTCAAAAAAACAAACAAAAACTGACATCTTAACAATATTGAATCTTCTAATACATGAACACATTATTTCTGTATTTATTTAAATCTTCTTTGACTTCTTTCATCAAAGTTATAGAGCTTTCATCACCCAGATTATTTGTTGGGATCAAACTCAGGGTCTTATGCATACCCAGTCTATGCTCCACCACTGAACTACATTCACTGTATGCAGATTCTGAACATATTTTGTTAGATTTTTACCTAAATATTTTGTTTGGGGATGCTGTAGTTACTAGTATTGTACTTTTAGTTTTAAGCTCCAATTTTCAATGCTGGTATAAAGAAAACAATAGTTCATTGTATATTAATCTTGCATCCTGCTCTACCTTGGTATAATCACTTCTTATTTTCAGCACTGTATTTTTTTGGGGGGGTGAGACAGGGTCTCACTATGTAGTTGAGACTGACCTGGAACTCACTATGTAGCCCAGGCTGGTCTCAAACTCACAGTGATCCTCCTGCCTCAGCCTCCCGAGTGCTGGGATTACAGACATGCACCACCATGCCCGGCTTCAGCACTGTTTTTGTCTCTTTCCAATTGTCTAAATAAACAACAGTCATCTACAAGGGCAGTTTTATTTATCCCTTCTCAATTTATATAGTTATTAATTCCTTTTCTCAATACACTAAGAGTGGTAAGAGGAAATATCCTTGCCTTACTAATCTCTTGGATTATTTTATTCTTATTAGTACATGTGTGCAGTACACGTTATTTACATTCATTTTAGGGAGTAGGTATATATTTATTCTTTTTATTCCCTCCCTCCCTTCCCTCTGATTCCTGGATTATTTAAAAGCAAGCCCCAGCTGTCATCACTTCACCTATAAATATTTTGATGCGTATCTTCCTAAATATAAGGATTCTTAAGAAACATAGCCACAATACCTTAAAAATCAGTGCTATTTCTCAGCATCAGCAGAGGGATGTTTTTAAATTTTTACTCCCAATGCACAACATTCCCTGCTCGCTCATGTTACACACTATATCATGAACAAAGCTCTCTGCACACTTACCATTACTTCTCCTTGCTCCACAGTGTGGATTTTCATGTAGGCCCCCACTGCTGCCTCCTTGGGGAGCTCACCAAACTTGGTTTTGAGCATGGAACATCTGACTGAATGAGTACACTTGGATCTGAAATGTGACAGCTTGTTAAAGAGAACTCATCTGAGAGCCGGGCATTTAGCTCACTAGTTCCACTGCCTGCCCTTACAAGTGCAAGGTCCTGAGTTCAATCCCAGGTACAAAAAAAAAAAAAAAAAAAAAGAGAGAGAACTCATCTGTAATATAGCCAGTGTGTGGGGCCCTGGATAACCACTCCTACTATACTGCACACTGAGATATCCCTTCCTGGGAGAATATGACTTAGAAGGTGAGAAAATTCAAAATCACACCATAAGAGAGACTGATTCCGGCTGTTAGGGATTAGAGAAGTGTAACAGGAAGGGGACTTGGGAGAGGAAGGAGATATAGGGTCTTTTAAAACACCAATTTTGTGAAGGGGCTCATGATCTCATGCAGCTAAGCCAAACCTGCTTGGAGGTCACCCAGGGAAGGGTTTTGTCTCAGGCCTATCTGACTGAAAGATCATATGGAGGAGGGAATTTTTTGCGGGGATCAGGGGGTACTGAGGGAATCAAACCTATGGCTTTTACACTGAGCAACATCTCAACCCATTTTTTATTCTGAGGCAGGGTCTCACTAAGTTATTAAGTTGTCTGGGCTTGGCTCAAACTTGAAATAAAATTTTTAAAAAATTCTAACATGATTGCCTGAAAACAGAACTGTCTGTAATGTTTTTTGTTTGTGGTTTTTATTTGTTTGTTTGCTGTTACCGTTTTGTAATACTGGAGATTGACCCCAGGGCCTTTACACTGAGTTACATCCCAACTCTGCCCCCTCTAACCTACCCCACCTTCTTTTTTTTCTTTGAAGATAGAAGATAGGGTCTCGCTAAGTCACCAAGTTGTCCAGGCTGGGTTCAAATTTGCAATTCTCCTGCCTCAGGTAGGATTTCAAGAATGTATCACCATCCCAGGCTTGAACAGTTTGTTTTGACAAAGGTAAGCTACTACAGTACTATACTTGCCTCCCTTAGTTGGGTAAAATTTTCTGAAGAAGCTCAAAGTCAAAAGAGTCCAGCAACACATATATACACTATCACAGCCAGAAGATATTCCTGCCCTTCTTCCTTACATGACTTGCTGAGGCCCTGAGTAAAGAAGTAGCTGCATACTTAAAGTTGCCCTGTGAGTTACAGGCAGAAAATGCAGGTCTGGGGTATCTAACCTAGGACTGCTCTAGACTGCCTCCCATACATATCCATACCTGTGTCTGCCACCTCTGCCCCTCCCTGAGCACGCCTGAAATTCTGCCATGGAAGTCATATCCCCTGCCCGCTTCATAACTACATGGACCCTTCTATCTACCAAGAGCTGAGCTTACTTGATCTTTGGGCCCAGAATCCTGGGGAGACTATTTCCTGAGGTTTTGGTTGGTTCACTGAAGCTTATCTCCTGTTTCTTCCTGGCTTCCTGGAGATGCAGAAGTTTCAAAGAGCTAAAGTCCTGTACAGGATATGATTTGATCTGGAATTCCTTAAATCTCACCATAGGATCTGGTTCTGTTAGAGAAAGCATAGGAAAGTACATTAATGGGCCTTTGCATATACGACACTAGTGATGGTGGTGAAAGCACCATAGTAACTTTCAGGAGCGTTAAGAAGAAAAGAAAAACACTATAGCCTCTGTGAACATCCTCTGGGGAGGCCTTGTGCTAGACCCTTTCCATCTGTTACATCTGGACAAGTGTGATTAGCCTAAATGAAGAGACAAGATAACAGCAAGGAGTTCAAGTCCCTCAGAAAAAGGTTGAAGTTTGATTTGAACTCAGATCTATTTGATTCAAAGCTCATATACTTCCATTGATAGATTATACCTACCTTGTCTTTTCAAATTGGGGCAATAAAAAAGAAATGATTAGTACAGAAATGTGATACTAGGGATGTAGCTCAGTGTTAAGGACCTAGTTCAATCCTCAGTACTGTGAAAGAAAGAGGTTGGGGGAAGACTGGGAGTATAGCACAATGGTAGACAGCCTTGGGTTCATTCTATAGTACTGAAAAAAAGGGCAGATTGGTGGTTGTCTAAGACCAAAGATAGGAATGGAGACTGACTGGGAAGGGGCACAAATGAACTTTCTGAGGCAATAAAAATGTTCTATAACTTGATTGTGGTTATTAATTGGAGGTACAAATTTGTCAAAATTCATTGAACTACACATTTAAAATATGTGCCTTACACTGCACAAAATGTCATGAATACCTCAATAACCCTGATTTTTAAAAATTGTGGGATTTTGTGTATTTTTTCTTTCTTTCTTTCTTTCTTTCTTTCTTTCTTTCTTTCTTTCTTTCTTTCTTTTTTTTTTTTTGGTACCAGGGATCAAACGTTGGGACCTTGTGCTTGCGAGGCAGGTCATGGCACCACTGAGCTAAATCCCTGGCCCTTTTCTTTTTTTTTAAAGTGCTGGTGATTAAACCTAGGACCTCATGCATGCTAGGCAAGCACTTTACCACTGGCTACATTCCAAGTCCTAAAAAGAAATGCTAACAGAAATAAACCCAAACTCCATAGGAATAGGCCTGACTTAATGAGCATTTATAAAAAGCTCTGAAAGCCAGGCATGGTGGTGTACACCTGTAATCCTAGCACTTGGGAGGCTGAGGCAGGAGAATTCCCATGAATTTGAGGCCAGCCTGGGATGCATAGTGAGACACTGCTTCAAAAACAAAAACAGGTCCAGCGATTTAGCTCAGTGGCACTGCACCTGCCTTGTAAACAAGCACAAGGTCCTGAGTTCAATCCCTGGTACCAAAAAAAAAAAAAAATCCCTTAGTATGCCTTTTAAAAAGGCATTTTTTTTGCAATAACAAAGCTTTTGCCTTATTCTATTTTTTAGAAGTGAGCCCAACCTGTACTTCTGTAGAGGGAAGTTACCCCACATGTGTGAATACAGGAAAATGGGGACTAACCTTGAAAAGATCAAAATATTTCCAAGTAATTTAACTGCATTCTAAAACAAAATTCAGTATATATAAAGGAATAACAAAATATGCAGTACTCAAAATTCAATGTCTAGCATTCTAATAAAAACTACCAAGCATAAAAAGAAAGAAAATATGAACCACACAAAAAGAAAAAATGAGAAATTGAAACTGACACAGAAATGACATAGATAACACAATCTGTACACAGCGAAACAGCTTTATAACTACATTTCAAAGAGGAAATATTGTGTGTTTAAGCAGAGACATAGAAATTATGTTTTCTAAAAAGACCCAAATCAAATTTGAGGATATGAGAACCATAATACCTGAAATGAAAGAATACATTAGACTGTATCAACAGATTTGAAAATGCAGGAGAAAGTGGTAAATTTGAAAACACAGCAATAGAATCTACCCAAAATCATAGAGAGTAAAAATAAACAGAGCATCTGTGAGCTGTGAATCAACTTCAAGCACTCCAAAGCAGAAGAGGGGAGATGTGAAAAATATTTGAAAAATAATAGCCAACAACCTCTAAATCTTATTTTAAAATTATAAATCCAAAGATCCAAGACATTACATGAAATCCAAGCAAAGGAAACATGATAGGCCACTGTGTTCTCCTCTCTCCATAGTGGCCTACCCTCATGCTGTAGGGTGTACTTCTTTTCCTACTTTTAATGGCTCAAACTTGTTCTGCAGTCTGTTTCTTTTCCTCCCTTTAATAAAACTTTGCTACTGTTAAAAAAAAAAAAAAAAAAAAGAGGGCTGGAGATTTAGTTCAGTGGTGCAGCCATCTGCCTCGCAAGCACAAGGTCCTAAATTCTTTTTTAAAAAAAAAAAAAAAAAAAAAAAGACCAAAACTATATTGAGCTGTAACATAGTCAAATTACTCAAAATTGCTAATAAAAACAAAAAATTTAAATCAGCCAGAGGAAAAAGGCACATGTAAAGAAGGTATATGGAAGACAGGATTGCAGTTAGTGACCATGAAAAGAAAGATTTCTTAAAAGTAGCAAGGGACCATAAAAAAATCAATCCAACAGCTGCTAGATAATGCAAAGAATAACATAAGATTGATCAGAGTCAATGAAAAAGCAGAAGCTAGCTCAAGTGACAAAAAAATCTGTTCACAGAAGCAATGGCAGAAAACTTCCCAAGCAGGAAAAAAGAATTTAACATATAGATAAGTGAGGCATTAGAACTCCAATTACTCAGAAAAAAAAAAAAAACTATACCAGGACACGTAATAGTCAAGATTCCAGAAATTCAATACAAGAACAGAATATTAAAAATGGTTAGAGAAAAGAAACAAATCACCTATAAAGGAAAGCCCATCAGAATCACAGCAGACTTCTCAACACAAACTCTCAAGTCAAGGAAAGCTTGGAGTGAACTATTTCAACTCCTAAAGAAAACAATCTCCAACCCAGATTGATGGAGTGTGAAAAACTATGTTTCGAAACAGATGGAGAAATAAGATACTTCCATGATAAAGAACACCTGAAGAAATTAATGACCACCAAACCAGAACTCCAAAATGTCCTGAAGGACATTCTAGAAAGAGATAATGAAGACTACAACTTTATGAATGCCAATAGAATGAATGACTCCAACATCAAGGCAAGCAATTAAACAGGGGGGAAAAAGGGAATCAACAACAGAAATATAACATGACAAGGATAAGTCAATACATATCAGTTACAACCTTCAATGTAAATGGTCTCAATTCACCAATCAAAAGAAATAGACTGGCAGAATGGATAAAGATGCAAGATCCAGGGCCGGGGATTTAGCTCAGTGGCACTGTGCCTGCCTCAAAAGTGCAAGGTTCTGAGTTCAATCCCAGGTCCAGGGGGGTGGGAGGGATCAAGATCCAACAATATGCTGCGTACAAGAAACACATTTAATTCAAAAAGAAATTCAATACTCCATGGGACAGGAAAGCAGAAAAAAGCAGAAGTAGCTATTCTATTTGTAGACAAAGAATATTTCAAGCCAAGACTGATTAAGAGAGACGAAGAAGGTCATCACAACCTTGTAAAGGCTGTAAAGGAAACAATCCAAGAGGAAGAGATAACAATCATAAATATGTAACAAATAGCAGGGTACCCAACTACATAAAACAAATATTAACAGACATGAAAAGTCAAATAAGCACTAATACAATTGTAATATGGGACCTCAAAACCCCACTGTCACAAATAGATCAACTAGACAAAAAAAAAAAATCAACAAAGAAATATCAGAATTGAGCCAAACTTTTGAACAAATGGATTTAGAAGAGGTCTACAAAGTGTTCCACACCACAACACCAGAATATACATTCTCAGCTGCACATGGAATGTTCTCCAAACTAGACCAAATGCTAGCTCATAGAACATGCTTAAGTAAATGCAAAATAATTAAAATTATCCCATGCACATTACCAAAACACAGTGAAATGAAATTGGAAATCAATGGTAAAAGAAACCACAAGAACATATGAACACATGGAAATTAAATAACACCTTCCTGAACAACCAATGGGTCACAGATGATATTAAAGAATTAGACAGTTTCTACAATTAACAATAATGCCAATAAAACATACCAGAACTTATGGGATGCAATGAAAGCAGTCCTAAGCGAGAAATTTATAACAGTGAATTTCCCTATCAGAAAAAGAGAACGAGCACAAATAACCCAGTGTTCAACCTCAAGCTTCTATAAAAAGATCAAGTCAAGCCCAGAGCTCATACAAGGGAGGAAATTATAAAGAGCAGAGCAGAAAATAATGCAATGAAGACGAAGAAAATAATATAAAGAATCAATGAATCAAACAGTTGGTTCTTTGAAAGATTAAATAAAACTGACAAATCCTTAGCCAGCCTTATCAAAAAAAGGAAAGACTTAAATCCAGGTAATTAAGAATAAAGAGTAGACTGGGCATGGTGGTGCACGCCTGTAATCCCAGCACTCAGGAGGCTGAGGCAGGAGGATCGCTGTGAGCTCGAGACCAGCCTGAGCTACATAGTGAGTTCCAGGTCAGCCTCACTACATAGTGAGACTCTGTCTCAAAAAACAAACAAACAAACAAACAAAAAATAAAAGAAAAAAAGAATAAAAAGAGTGAAAGCACAATAGATCCTTCAGAAATCCAGAAGATCATCAATACCTACTTTGAGAACTTGTATTCTAATAAGATGGAAAACACAGAAGAAATGGACAGATTCCTAGATATATATGAATTATCAGAGCTGAATCAAGGATATAAAAATTCTAAATAAATCAATATCAGTAAATGAAATTGAAGATGTAATTAAAAAATCAGACCTTCCAAATCTAAAGGCCCAATCCAAAAATGGGCTGAAATAAATAGACACTTCTGTCATGAAGAAGTAGAAACAGCAAATAAATATATGAAAAAAATTTAACATCACTGGTCATTTGAGAGATGCAAATGAAAACAATCCAAAAAGAATGGCTATTATAAAAAAAATCAGCCAATAACAAATGCTGGTGGGGTTGTGGTAAAAAGAAGCCCTTCTCCACTGTCAGTATAAGTATATATTGGTGCAACTGCTGTGGAAATCAGTGTGGAGATTCCTCCAAAAACTAAAACTAGAGGTTCCATTCTACCCAGCTATTCCCCTTCTTGGTATCTTCCCAAAAAATTAAAGCATCACACCACAACAATATATGTACACACGTTTACAGCAGCATAGTTTATAATAGGTAAATCTTGGAAACAGCCATAAGGCCCATCAACTGATGAACAGATAAAGAAGACATGGGTTTTTTATACAATGGAGTATTACTCTGCCATAAAGAAGCATTAGCTTGAGACATTTCTAGCTAAATGGATTCACCTTGAGACCATACTTTGAGGGGGGGTCCTGGGGATCAAAATCAGGACACCTTGCGCTTTCAAGGCAGGCACTGGAACCAATGAGCTAAATAAATCCCCAGTCTGAGACCATACTCTTATGGGAAATAAATTGGACACACAGGTTTAAACACCACATTGTTTTGCTGCTGTGACTGAAAGTGAAAATAAGAACCAAAATGTATAACAGATATTGGACAATGGGGAGAAAAAAATGTTTGTTTTTTCTGGGATTGAACTCAGGACCTTGTGATTGCAAGGCAGGAGCGGCACCACTAAGCTAAATTCCCAGCCCAGGAGGAAAATGTTTAAATGAGAAGAGGAACAAGGGAACAGGGAGGGGAAAAGGAAAGAAGAGACCAAAAAAAAGTATACAGGGAAAAATGTAAATAAAGCTTTTGTAAATAAGGAGAGGAAGAGAGCTTGAAGGGAAGGGGGAAATGGGAGAAAAAGAAGCAGTAATACACATCATGTACAGGGTCAAATTCACTATGATAAATGTTATCATTTATGTATATCTAAAATATACCAATAAATGTT